TTTTGCAGCAGTGTCTTTTGGGTTGCTAACTCTTGTCCTTCCACTTATCCTTCCATCAGTTCCAGGGCTCAATCCCAACTGCTGTTGGACGAGACACTATGGAGCTCTATATTTATATTTCCACAGTACAAAGTGGCAAAATCAAAGACTGCTTTGGGATTTTTTTTAAAAAAATGTTTTCAAACCATGGATGGTTGAAGCAGTGGTTGCAGAACACCAACTGTGTAACACTGTCACTGTACGAGTAAAGCAACAACAAAATGCTCCCCTGCCCTTAGGTGTATAATTTAATTAAAACATGACACAAAGGCAAAGGGATGCCAGTGTGGGAAGGGATGAAGGGCCTGTCCAGACAGGCCCTATATCCCAGGATGTGATTGCAGGTTTTCTGTTTATCCTGGATTATCTGGCAGAGTGGACTCATATGATCCAGTTTAAAGCTGAAAACCTGGGATTTATTTATTTATTTGTCATGTCAGAACAACCAGTCAAATTATGTTACATTTCTAACAGAACAAAGCAAAACAAGCAGATTACAAAAGTTTGCAAGTTTGGTAGCTGATTAAATGTCCTTTGACCAGTATCTGGCCATTTGGAGTGCTTCTGGTGTTGTACAAGAAGGTCCTCCATTGTGCATGTGGCAGGGCTCAGGTTGCATTGCAGCAGGTGGTCAGTGGTTTGCTCTTCTCCACACTCGCACGTTCGAGGATTCCACTTTGTGGCCCCATTTCTGAAGGTTGGCTCTGCATCTCGTGGTGTCCGAGCGCAGTCTGTTCAGCGCCTTCCAAGTCGCCCAGTCCTCTGTGTGCCCAGGGGGGAGTCTCTCATCTGGTATCAGCCATGGTTGAGGTTCTGGGTTTGAGCCTGCCACTTTTGGACTCTCGCTTGCTGAGGTGTTCCAGCGAGTGTCTCTGTAGATCTTAGAAAACTATTTCTTGATTTAAGTCGTTGACGTGCTGGCTGATACCCAAACAAGGGATGAGCTGGAGATGTCTCTGCCTTGGTCCTTTCACTATTGGCTGCTACTTCCCGGCGGATGTCAGGTGGTGCAATACTGGCTAAGCAGTGTAATTTTTCCAGTGGTGTATAGGGCGCAGACACCCTGTGATAATCCGGCATGGCAGTATAATTTTTCCAGTGGTGTAGGGCGTAAACACCCTGTGATAATGCGGCATAGGGCCTGTCTGGAAGGGCTCCATGGCTTCACATGCCACCTGTTTCTCCAAGGCCAAAGCAGTGGCAGTTGGATGGAAGGAGGGCTCTTCATCTGCTTCTGGGTCAAGCACATGCAAGAGCAAACTTCAGCCCTCCAGGTGTTTCGGACTTCAACTCCCACAATACCTAACAGCCGGTCTAGCAGTTTGTAATGTAATACAGGTTGAGTATCCCTGATCCAAAGTGCTTTGAACTAGAAGTGTGTAAATCACTTTGAGTCCTCCTGAGGGTGAGAAAAGCGGTATACAAATACTGTAAATAAATAAATAAAATGTTTGGGATCATGGGATAGCTGTTTACATACACAATGACACATTTCAAAGATAGCACCCAAGATGAAACACAAAAGAGGCATGCACGAGGCCTCTTTTCCCACGTGCCTGGCAATGCCGCTGCGCATCCCTCTCTCGGCATTAGGAAATGTGCGCCCTGCATTGCCCTCCTTCTCCATGCACTTCCTAACGCTGGGAGAAGGATGCACACTGGCGTTGTTGTCTCCCTTGGCCTGCAAGGAGGAGGAGGAGAGGAGGACAACGTGCGCACTTGTGAGGGAAGGATGGAGGGAGAGCATGCTCCCTGCATGAGGGCTCTTTTTCCGTGCGCCTGGTAATGCCGGCGCGTGTCCCTCTCCCGGAGTTGCAAAGCGTGTGGGGGAAGAGAATGCAAAGCGCATACCCAGGAGCCGATGGAGCACAGGGCCTCTTCTCCTGTGTGAAGAGGGGCAGCATTGCAAGTGCCTCTCCAGGCAGCTGTGCCATCACCCCTCTCAGGGCGGCAAGGAGGATTCTTCATGAACGGAAGTGACTGAAGGTACTGCAAATCTAAATTATTGTACATGTTTCCCCAAAACCCCTCCAGTATCAGAGTCTATTTTCCCCAAATCCCTTCAGTATTTTGTGTTGGAACTACATCAACACTGACAAAGAAACAACAAGAAATACTATTTACCCACAAGCATTAAGAAATTACATATATTAGAAACCAACTTTCTTATTACTTTCTTTTCAAGATCACTAGACTGGATCACAGCAACGCGTGGCAGGGGATGGCTAGTGTGTGTGTGTGTGTATGTATGGCTGGCATGGGCCAACTTCAGCCCTCCATGTGTTTTGGACTTCAATTCCCACAATTCCAAACAGCCAGTAGGAAGTCCTAAATACCTGGAGGGCCAAAATTTGTCCATGCCCCCATAGATAGATAGATAGATAGATAGATAGATAGATAGATAGATAGTGATTGGTTTTGGGGGAGGGGGGGGGGCGCCAAAATACTGTTTGCTTACCATTGAAAATTACCTAGGGCCGCCTCTGAAGAGAGGTATCCTTTTTAATTACTTATTTCAGTGGGAGCCACACCACCTGAAAGAGCATTAGCCATTCTTAAAAAGTGATATAAATTACCTGCTCATTTTATGGCAGCTCTAGAAATGGTAAGATACATCCTCTATCCCACATTTGAAGATTGCCGCATGTGAAGGGCACCATCAGTGGCAGTTTCTTAAGTGTGTAGAAAGTAAACTGCTGGTTTATAGCTATTTGAGTCAAAAAGCAAGCCAAGCCATGCAGAGCTGCAAATGGCACTGAGAATTTAGAGCACTGATCTGTCTCTCTCAAAGCCTGCTTGCAAAAGAAAAATGGAAGCCCAGCTTCTCTAAAAGACACATCATGACTTTCATCTGTTCTGATTGGCTCAATAGGCAGGTCTCAAAGAAAAACTCCATGTGGGCAGGCGGCTGCCTCTCTGCACTCCACGTTTAGCCAAAAGAAACAGAAAGCTGTCATTTTTGACAGTCAGGAAAAAGTGACGGCAGAGCATTTGCTGTAAAAATGAAAACATATACAACTGAGTAGTCTAATTATACGTCATGTATTTCACAGACAATTCCTAGAACAGAAAAAGATACAGTCAAACTTGCTCCATTTTCTATGGGACCAACAAATCAATAGTGTAACCTCATAGATGATTACACAGAAACATATTATATTGTGTTCAATAGAGCTTATTCCGTAGTATAAAATGTTTATAACCACAGCCAAAATCTCATGTTTGGATGGTTAACAGCAACATAATGGGACAGCAAGTATCTTTTCCCTGCATAATCCATTCATACTCATTGTCCATTCTCCCATTCAAAAGGTGCATGAGTAGAAATTTCACCATTACATCCAATCCTAACATTAAGATTTGTTGAAAGTGATTTACAGAGCTGCACATATTATTGCACACATCAATAATATAGCGATTTTTATAATCCTACCCATTATCAGAAAACACCTGAATCAAAAAGTAGAAAAAAATCTCTAATGCTCTTATCAAAGCTTAGAAAAAATGATTAAAAAGCACAACTGATCTGTGACTGCAAATGACATATATTTGGGGATTATTTTTGTTTTACATTAACTTGAAGAATGTATTAGAACAGAATTGGAACTATGCAGTTTCTGATTAAATTATATACGTCCATTTGTGTCCACAGGGTGCCCTAAAGTCAGGACATCACTACTCTAAGAATTCCTTGATAGTTATAACACTATGATTCCACTGTAACTTAGGTGACTTCCTGTGGAAACTTATTGTTTGTAGTTTGGTGAGGAAGTATAATTCTCTGACTGAGAATTCTAATTATTTATAAACTGCCAGTCCCATCATTTCATAGGATATAATCATTGCAATCAAAGTGGAATCAGAGGATGTGTCTACACCAGGCAGGGTACTCCTGGATATTTCTGCCCCAGAGATATCCCCAATCCAGCAGGTACCTGCTGAATGCAGGACCAGTGTCCAGACAGTACAACCCATCCCTTTGTCCTCATGCTGCCATTGCTTCTGTCATCCAGTCACAGAAATCCCTGCAAATGCCTGACCATCACCTATCAAAATCTGCTGTTGCCAGAATAGAGCACTTGTGCAATCAGCAAGAAGATGATAGAGCAACTTCCTCCTTGCTTGTCATGCAGTCACCCTTTCTGACATCAGTAGGTGTAATCATGAAGGTCGGGTACTCACAGGGAACTTTATAGCCAGTGAGGAGTAGCAATAGAGGTGACATGGTGATGAGCCCTTTCCCTGTGCTGATCAGAGCATGAAAAGGATGATGGCAGCAGTGTCCATCTGGGCAGTGCTTTGGGCTGAAATGAAGCAAATCAACTCTTCAGGTAGTTGCAAGGCCCTAAATACTCCTGAATTTTCTGCAAACTCCAAAGTACCCTTAAACTTTGACCAAAACAGGGCAAAGTTGGGTTAAAGGCAGAAAACCTAGGATACTCACTGGAAGTCCTGCACATTGTATAGACAGTCAGCACTGGATTCAAGATGAGTCCAGAGGTTTTTCTTCCATGTAGGCAATCCTGCAGTGTGATGATTGTGTAGTGTGAAAGATTCCTAGGTGCAGAAGTTAAATAGAAAATGCATTTCAAGCAGAAACAAGTTATGGCCACATCTGTTGACTTTTCAGCAAGGACATTTTATGTTGGAATTGATTCGTTTCTTAAGAGACAACAGAATGTCTTGTCATGTATAAACATGCTACTCTTTCTGTTTTCAGAGTTATAAAGCAGGAAAGTGAAATCTTTAGACCTGTAGAATAACTACCACAGTTCTTTGTCATTGGCCATAACTTGTTTCTGCTTTGGCCATCCCAAAAGACATTGGGATGGCCAAAAAGTTTAAAATGAATAGATTTGTTTTACCTTTAATCCAGTTAAAATTATTTCACTTAACAATAATCCAAACAAATATATTGCACTTGATATATGAAATGACAACAATGATTTAGTATCACTCACCAAAGACTGAGATCTTTCTGGTGGTCCAAATTTCGTAGCAACACTTACTGGGGTGTTAGCCCTGCTAGTTAGGCAAATTCTTTCTTGTGGGTCTTGATTCTCCTTAACTGGTTCATATAAGCTGTCCATAGAGCCCTCCTGAAATACAAGAACATTTCTGTTAACCACACAGGACTCTGTCACATTTCTGATGGAGGAAATGAGTCAGCTCTTTCTATAAAATTTCTAGTTCAAGAAATAGCACTCCAAGTAGTTATTCCATCAAAGGTCTTCAATGACATTTCTAGGGAAATGTTGCAATTCGTGTTTTGAAACTGCGGCATCTTTCTAAGAGACTTACCTTCTCATTTTGGACCACAGTCAGGGCCATTCACAGTGTTGTGGTTCAGCAACAGCATGATGGGACTGATGGGACTGAGAGTGCAAGTGGGCATGATGGGAATGGGAATACAGATGCAGGTGTGGGATTTCAGATTTCTCAGTTTTCTCAGCCACAGTCTGTAGCTGGAGAGAAACCCTTGTTCTCAAGGGAACGGAATGTGGCTGATAACACACTCGGTGAAGGTCAGAGTGAGCCGCAGGTGTTAAGGAGAAGTTTACGGATTGCGGCCAAATCTTGAGGCCATCTGCTGGTGGGAAAACTGCTCGTTAGCTGTTCTGTTTAATGTTCATGTTTTGATGTTTTACCTATAAGTAAGCTGCTTGGGAGCTGATTCAGTGTCAGTTTCAACTTCGCAATATGGATCGCTGTACCTCCGGCTCTAGGGCTTGGGCCCTGGGGATTGCCTGCTTCTTGTAACCTCATGCTATTTCCTGGATTGTATCCTGTATCTTTGCCTCAAGTTTCCTGCTTTGATTCAAGAGAACTTATTGGACCTTTACTTTGTACTATTGAACTTTTTTACTGCTTTTACTTGGATTTGTTTGAAACCTCAATAAACTTCTTTCTTCTCAAGTTTGGCTGGTTTGTCAGAGAGCAAGGTGAAACTTAACCTGAGACGCAACACACAGCATTCTCACTGGTATATTCCATTCATCTAGTTTGTATATCACACTCACAACAAGGCCTTAGCCCAGGGACAAGACACAAAAGAGGTAGGCATGAGAGTGTTCTTCCATTAACTTTGTATGATATCAAAGAAAGAAGGTTGTTATGTAGAAGGTATAATTCCCTGTGCAGTGGTTTCATTTTCTAGCTATTTTTGTTTTTCAACATTTGGCTATGCACAGAAGTATTTTATAAATCTTTATTGAATATGAACATTTCTGCATTTCTTTAAAGGATTTCTTCATAATGAAATTATATCTGTGTACATCAAGGGGAAGAACTATAGTTCAAGAGTGGAGTGCATTTCTTATGTGTGTTAAGGTCTCAAGTTCAATCCCAAGAACATCCTGTTAAAACAATCAGGTAGCAGGTCATAAGAAAGAGGACACCTGAGATCCTGGAAACAGTTATCATGCAGTTCAGATTAGCTAGTTATTTTTATTTGGTTTATGAAGGATACAATAATTTTTGGATTGCTGAAAAGGTGGCATGTGCATATGAATCAAATATGATATGAATCAGAACTGATTCTGAGATTCCAGTGTATGAGAATTTGGGTAATTCAAAACCTACAAAGGGCCTTTTGAAGCAGGTCTGGGACATTAAAGCAAAAAGCCATTTTGACTGGAAAGGTATGCTATGGTAAACCACTATCAATCTGTGTCTTCATTATTTTACATCTTCTACCCATGTGTAAGGTGTTTGTAACTTCATTATTTAATTTCAGAAGTATCCTATATTTTTATAGTGTTGTCTCTCAGTCACCATTATTTCTCTCTTCCCCTGCTATTGACACAGTTTTCTCTTACGGCAATGAAATAATCCTTGGTTCATCAAGTGAGCTTTCTATTTCTAACCTTATAAGATGAGCCATACTAGCAAACTTAAATTCTTGAATGGTATAGATTGAGACTGGCATAGATAGAATGGGATGAATGGCATGCACAGCATTTGTTTTTGTTTGGTCTTGACCTCCAGTGACACCGTCCTTTACAGTTCTATTACATGACCATGCAAACTTCAGTCTTGCTATCAAAAGCAAAGCTTCAAATGTCTAAGGTGGATCTGATCTACGCTGCATGCAAAATATTCTTTAGGTGGCAAACGGCAATGGTAATTGCTAAATGAAAATTTGATAAGATCACAAATATTCCTCAGCATTATTTCAGGCATTATAATGTCTATCCCATTAAATCAAAGAAAACTTTATAAGCTCTAAAAAGGTTACAAAAAGCAATAGCAAAAGAAAACACTTCAGACAATTTTATTAACAATGATCCCTGGGCTCCCAATAAATTTCCTATAGAATATCACAAAAAGAGGCAGGAAGAACAGGAAAATTACTGGTTTTCACCCTCTCCTTCAAACACAGCAGAAGTTGAAGTGAGGTAGAGTTGACATTAGTTTCTTGCTATAAGGGTTGTCCCTTATTTGAATGCCAGAAAGTTTGTCCCTTACATATGGTCTTTATTATGAGATTTTCATATTTGAGAGATTGATAGTCTTTCATGTTATTTAATATTAATGAAATGCCAAAATAATGTGCATTTTGGGTATGTGGGTTCTTCAGAAAGACAGAAATGTATATATACATAATTTAAGTTATGAATGTGGACAAATATATTAGTTTTAGAGAGAAATACATGGCCACGTTGACTAAAATCAATATTTTCATTTTGTATCTGTAGAGGAACTTCCTGACTGTTATCCCTGAACATGATGAATTTTGCCCGCCCTTCTTGCTACTTTGAATACCTGGGAGCTAAAGGGAGATAAGAGAAAACCAAAACATTGACGGCTACTTTTAAAGCTCTCAAAATCCATGAGCCAGCATGGAAGATGTCAGGAAATTGTAGCCCAAAACAAAATAGTAACTGCTCTAGAGAGAACAATAGCAAAGAGTCTTTAGATAAACCTGTTCACCAGTTATATAATCCATGTCTGCTCCTGATACTCAGTGGAGGCTGATGGGTCTGATTACTGAGAAACAGTAATTTTGCTGCTGGTTCCAAGGAATGGTAGCAGGTTTTATTGAGCTCATTCCTTCTCTCACACAAACATTCACACACCTAGCAATTTCTGAATCTCATCAGGGAGGGAGCAAAATATTTGGTCCAGCAAATCTTCTCCAGCTGACACCCCAAACACTGCATACTCTACATGATCCAGAATGAAGAATTGGATGGAAGTCCCAGCACCCTGGACACTACTCCTTCAAACTCTGGAGTAAGGTAACATTTCTCAGCCTGACACACATCTTGTGTGTTAAACTATCACTCTCATAATCCCCAGATAATAGACATACACCCTGGCTGGGAAGTAGGAGTTGTAGTCCAAAGTTTGGAGATCTCTAGTAAACTAACATATGAGAGGTAAAGGTTTAATGCAGACTGAGTATCCCTTATCTGGATTTCCAAAATCAAAATTTGTTTTGTTTCATACACAAAAGTAAATATTATGCATAAAATTGCCTTTAGGCTTTGTGTATAAGAACCTTATCTCATTGGCTATTGCATTTACCACACATCGGCGGGGGGCATGGAGAACATGTCCTATGTCTTGCATCGCCCGAATCACCACTGGCCACATCCCAAGGGTAGAAGTGTCCACTGCCTGGCTTCCCTCCATTGTTTCAAGGGCAACAAGGGAAGCTTCTCGTGTTGCTTATTCTCCCCTTTCACGACAGAGTCCAGCTGGAAGTAGATGTGTTTCATGTAATTGGCTCAGTGACAGAAGGAGAGAGGAAGAGTTGTATGGTGTTAGGTGTATATGAAAAATCAATAAATATCATGATTACATTTGGTTCCAATCCCCAAGAGATCTCGTTATGGTATATTCAGGTATTCCAAAATCCAAAATAATCCAAAAACCAAAACATATTTATCAGAGGAAGGAAATTAGTTGTTCTTGGAGTATTTAGGAAGGATTCAAGGATATAATGGCCAGTCTGGTGGGTAAAAGGAACTAGGCGGATGCCTGTCCCCTTTGGCTTCAGAATCCTGGAAGATACCATGGCACCCACCTTTGGGGGTGAAAGGTTGATTACCTTAAAAGTCTCTCTAGGTTCTGTGGCTTGGGGGTTGTGAATAGTGGGTCCCATTGGAGCTGGAATGAGGATGTCTCACTCTTCAAAAACTCTGAGGTTTGGGGAGGAGCACCCTCAAGATGGTGTTCTACTTAAGATCTGCCGAGGTGTGCAGCAAGAAAATTTGGAATGGCCCTCGGGATCTATGGGGCTAGTACAAGTATATTCTTTGGGGGTGATCAATGGAAGTGACATCTGGCTGAAGGATGTTTCCCACCAGATGGCTGACAACAAAATGGTTGTAACTTACAAGTTCTTTTCTCTGACAGGCCCTTTAAAATAAAAATGGCCCTTTAGCTCTATGTTCTTATATCTGGTCTCTTTATTTCAGAATGGGAATTCAATTCTGGTATCTAACTTAGAGCCTGGTCCAGCTTCTACATGGAGCAGAACAGACTGACATAAGTTTGAGATACTGAAGCAGACAGTCTCATTTCAACCTGCAGATATTGGTTGATATTTTGAACAAATGGAAACAAATGAAGATACTCCTAATGCAGGGATCCCAAAACTAAGGCTCACAGGCCAGCTGTGGCCCTCCAAGGTCATTTATCTAGTCCCTGCCCTAAGCTTTAGACTTAAGTTGCCTTAAGTCTGAAATGACTTGAAAGCACAAAATAACAATAATGCTAATTAACTTGACTATCATCAAAAGCAGGTACACACTTCCAATTGAAATACTACTAAGTTTATGTTGGATAAAATGTCATGTTTTTTACACTGCAAATAATATATGTACAGTGTGCATAGGAATTCATTCATGTTTTTTGCCAAACTATAGTCCACCCCCCCCCCTCAAGTCTGATGGACTATGTTCCAGTCCTCTGTTTAAAAAGTTTGTGAACCCTTGGCTTAATCCTAACCAAAAATAAAATTTCCTATAACATTATACAATACACAATTATCAAGCATTCCATTTTACCGTGAGTCACTTACTTTTTAGTAACATTGTTGCTTTAATTTAAAATTATTATAAAGTGCAAGAATATTTTTGGACGTTGTTAT